GACGTAATTACTTTTTTTTTTTTAATCTTTAGCTTATTTTGGTGAGTCATGAGGAGGCCGTGCGTGGGCCTCAGGAAGTGATAATTTTGTTGTTGTCTTAAGCTCCACTTCCAACCCCCCACTGCGTTGGGCTCGCCTTTCTGCGAGTTCATCGGCTCTTAGGTAGGGGAGGAGGAGGCCAAAGGAGCCGCCTGTTCAGAAGTGACGCGCAGGCACACGCGCGTTAGAGTGTGTGCGTACACTCTGTTTGCTCTGCTTCGCACCGCGGCGGTTTTTCTGTGTCCTGGCCAGCCTGCCGGAACAGCGTTTGCTCATTGAATCCTTACTCTTTTTTTACTTATTGTTTCATCAGGCGGCAGCCCTCAAGGAATACAGTTCTGTTTGTGTTTTTTGTTTGTTTTCCTTTTTATTTTCGATTATGTTTGCTTTTGCGTTTGATATCTGCTGCTTGGGTGTTGAGCGGGAGGTGTTTGTGGCTGTTTACTGTTCTTGCTTCCACTGGGTTTGTTGCCTCATCTCGCTGTTCTCTTTGCTGTTCCCTTGTCGTAGGCGCCGACTGTGGGGTGAGGGGGGAGGGAGGGAGCGGTGCGTGGTGGTGCTCGATCCTGCCCTTCTTTGGTTTGGGCTGGTGGGTGTTTCTGCAGAGTCACAATGGGCTCGTCGCTCGTCGCCCGCCTCTCGTGGCTGTTGCTTTGCATTTGGTTGTCTGCTCACCCGCCCTGTGTGGCGTACTGTGCGTCGGCGGTTGCCGGGTCCGTCCGGGCCGAGATGAGCGCGCCGTTCCACGTGAAATCATCTTGCAAGCCCAATATGGCTCTCGCTGCTGAAGCCGTCGTGGGTGCGGAGAGGAACCGCCCGATGGGAGTTGCACCGATAGAGCGCCAGGACGCAGTAGCCACGGAGGGTGTTTATGGCCCTTGCCCAGAGGAAGTTGCTGACATGACCCCGTTGGCGACCCAATCGCAGCGGTGTCTGCAGTGCAGCGGTCCGAGGGCGTTGCCCGGTTTTGTGAACCCCACACCCCATGAAGCGACAGGGGAGTGCATTTGTCCGGCAGGTTTTGGAATGGTAGAGCAAGAGGGCACACAGCGTTGGGTGTCTCCAACGGGTGCTCATCGTGGTCCTAAAGGTTGCACCAGTTGTGTGTCGCCATGCATGCTGGAAGAGAATGGAGAAGGTGGCTGTGTAAGCGGGTACACGACATTGTATGATGGATCCTGTGTTTCTACGGAGGCGTACGCGAAGGTGCTTGCTGCATCTTCGGGTGCCGCAACGAAGTTTCAACCGTTGAATCTTAATAACGAGGGGGTTTCTGGTCCAACATTTAAGGCGGTGGTGGTGGGACAGTATGCCATGGATGCTGCCGTGCAGTGTACGCGTGGGATGGCGACGGGTTGCAGTCGCTTGGCGAATATGTGTGTGCTGATGACGTATGACATGAATTCCTTGCCTTGTAGGCTGTACCTTTCACTCCTCGCCGATCGCGCCTTGCACCGCCGTCTCCCGCAGCTTTTTTACGGTAACAATTCCGTCATCTCCAGCGATGACGGTGACGACCATAACGGGGCCCCACCGGCGACATGGAAGGCCACGAAGGCCGGTGGCGTGATAACTCTTCTTGTTGCCGTGCATGATTGGCGTGGGAATCAAAAGGGGATTATCCACTTCGCCAAGGTGTTCAACCCATGTGATACTTCGAACGCAGCCATGTCGAGCATGTTGAAGCTCGGTTCCAACCGCAGGCATCAGTGTCTTCTTGATTGGAATCTCCTTTTAAGTAACGCCGGTCCTACAGATTTTTTCGAGCTCTTTATGGTCGACCCCGCCAACACGTCACACCTCGTGCCGCTCCCTGTGGCGATGGATTACACCAGTAACGACATCCACCCCTGGCACCTCCACGATGAGTCGCTACGGCGTGCCATGGCAGGTGGCTTCCGACGACGATTTTACATTTATGATACGTTTACTGATTGCAAGCTCGGACTCCAGCAAAAACCTGTGATAACGTCTTGTTACGTCACGGCTCTGCGGCGTGCGGTGTTTGTTTTTAACATGACTGATTCTCTGAGGCACCCCTGGCCTTTGAAGCCAATCATCATTTTTCAATATGCATCTGGCATGAAGTATGTTGATGCGCAGTTGACGGGGGCCGTCGCAAAAGTTGCGGTAGAGGGAGGTGTATCTGTGCTCTTCTTGACAAATGAGAACTCTGTGGATATGGGGCTGATGATTACTATGATTGTGCTGTGTCTGGTGTGCTTTTTTTCTTCCTGGATACGCACGTATGGGTGGATGCGGCGTCGACAGAACCTGATGCTTAGCGTCGGTGCAGTTATTCGCTTCCTGGTGTATTTTTGTAACCATATTGGCAACACGTTTGCCTTCGTCGTGGCGTTGGCATCGTGGTACATACTTGTCGCGTATAGATCGCAGGCGAACGCGTCGGCCTTTGTTGTGAAGGAGAAGTACTTGTACCTAGAGGCCATGTTGTTCACCGCCGCCGTGACGAAAGGTGTCGCTATTGTCTACCGCATCGTCGAGCAATGCAACGCGGATTACTTTGTCATTGACTGGGAACGAAGTAAAGGGCAGCTATTACGTGAGAATCGTATTTTGCCCGTCAGCATGTGGCGTTCGACGTTTGTTGCAAACGAATTGAATGAACTTCAGACCCTTCGCCAATGGCGGCCGTTGCTCAGTATGTCGATTGTCTTGCTTTTCCTCGAGGGGCTGGGTTACTTGAGCTACACGGAGAGCCTTCCCGCGGCGGCAGCGGCAGCGACAGCGGAGAAGGTAGGCGTCTACTCTCTCACCGCACTGCGAATAGCGGCAGGCACGTTCTTTTGGGTTTCTGTTTGTCTCGTGCTAAACATTCTTGAGTTTCAGGTTTACTACCGCTTTTTCCGTCAGCATCCCCTGCGGGCGTTTGTAGACCTCTGCTTCGTGTCGAACATCTCCATTATGATTCTGCCCGAGTCCCAGTGGGGGTATTACATCCACGGCGAGTCTATCCATGCTCACTCCGATGTAAGTATGGAGGAGTTTCAGCAGAATTTGCATCTTGAGTCTCAAGGCAACCTACCAGTGCGTGGCCTTGGCGGACAGAGCAAGTGTCAGACGTTTGAGGTTTTTATGGGTATCTACATGCGTCAGTACCTCTACATGTGCTACGCGGAGATCGAGGCAGAGCACCAACGATCACTAGGGAAGGCATCAGCCCCGATTCGGCCGGGCCGTAGATGGCACTTCTTAGAAGGCGTTATTGGGTTTTCCCGTAAGTCACGTGTGTATGACACAGAGACCTTGGCGGTTAAAAAACGCATCAACACCGTACTGCAGCAGAGCGTTAGAAGTGCTGAGGGGACATTGCTCATGAAGTTCATTCTTCATCGTCTGTTTGACGTGGCACCCAATATCCTCTACATGAACGGTCCGCAGTCGGGTGACAGGTCGGGTAAGGACCTTTTCTTTGTAGACGACGTACTTGCCTACGGCAATGCATTTCTGTACGGCCTCGACCCGGACTTGGTTGTCTGGTACGCGCTCCTGTACACCTCCTTTGACGCCATCTTGCATAATGTGTGGGAGGCGCTTGTCATCACGTTTTTGGTGGAGTTTGTTGTGCGTTGGTACCGCATGAGAGCAGGCGTGGCGAACATCAGTTCAAAGACCCTCATAGACGATCGTTTCTTCCTGTAAGATGCACCTCACAGGAGAAGGAGGAGCAACACAGACACAGACATGCTGAGAAGAGGCAGAGGAGAGCAAGGGGAAAAAAACAAACAAACAAACAAGCTCAGGCCAGGAAACTCCAACTATTTACGTATCTGATGTAGCACCCTTTTCTCACTCACTCACTCACTCACTTGCACAAACAACTTTCTTTTTTTTTTGTCCCTGTTTTTTCCACCGTCTTCTCTCACATGCTGGAGTAGTTGCTGCACTGAGAATCGGATAGAGCCGCAACGGTGGCTGTGGCAGTCGATGTACCGCGTGTGGCGCGCGCACGTGGGGTCCGTGGGCATTTTGGTCGCCCGGGCCCGCCACTTCACAGCCGGGGCGGCAGGACCACCGCCGCCGCCGGGCGCCCTCCCAGCGCGCCTGGGCGTCGTCCACTTCAACTCCCGAAACATAAACGACGAGATGTCGTCAAAAGTCCCGTTATTTCTCTACTTTCACGTGACAAACAATTCGGAGGTTGCGGCGTATACCGAGCGGCTTAGCGTGCAGGTGGATGCGGCGAATCACCGCCTGCGGGGTAGCGGCATTGCCGACAAGTACCAGGAGTTCGGCAAAGATCGCGGCCTCGCCATAAAGTTGGGTCTCGTCGACTGCCTCAGGGAGGCGGGGCTGACGGAAAAGTTTAGTGTTGACCCGCACATGTTTCCGATTGTGTACTTTGTACGCAACAAGGTCTATGCCGACAAGATGGTGGGAATAGTCCCCGAGTCGCAGGTGAAGGAGGCGATTGACGCGTTTATCGACTACGCCATAGAGGAGAGCAAAAATGAGATGAGTGGTACATCTGTTTTTCAAAAGGTGCAGCGCAGCGACGAGGACGACGAGAACGCCATGACACTGCTAAATGCTGCCCACACCCGGTTGAAAAACAAGGAAATTCCCAAGGCCCGTGAGCTCTTTAAAAAGGCGTATGACATGGCTACGAGAGAGACGCAAGCCGCACGTGAACGGCTGGGCTTTGCGAAGGAAAAAAAGGTTACAAGAGACATGTGGGAACGTCTGAAGCGTGAGGGCTGCTATAACGTTAGTCCCCAGGCACTTTGTGGTCTCGCCATGTGTGCCATGGTTTCAAAAGACGCCGCAGAAGCGCAGCGCATCGTGCAGCAGGTGCGCGAGGAGTTTCCTTTCGCAACAAGAGACCTGCGTGATGTGGCGGAGGCGGTGGTTCGCATCGAGTTGCTGATTATTGCTGACTTTGATGTGGAAAAGGACAACTACGTCTCGCTGCTCACGTACGACGACCTCACACACGACCCTGCCGCGTTGTATCGCCAGCATCTCAAGCTGGCCGTGGCACATTTTGTGGAAAAGCGCCACCACAAGGGCATTGAAGAATGTCTGCGGCTCATTCGTGCCGAGCCCAAGTTACTGCCCGCGCTAAAGGCGGCAGGGGTGGTTCCAGAGGGACTTGTGCTGGGACCACACGCCAAAACGCCTGCGCGACAAGTCATTCTCGGCATATTTGAGGCTCTCGGCAACACCAACGAGCACACCATCATGGGGCGACAAATGTTACAGACGTACTTGTAGGGGGGGGGGTCTTGCTCATACGTCTACCGACGCCTTTCTGGCCTGGGAAACGAAGAAGGGTTGAAAGTGTCAATGGGGCGCGACTTCATTTTTCTGCGTTGCCGGGGGGAGCAAGGCGTGCTTTCAAACTAAATGAAACCAGCGGAGGCAAATATGTTCCTGGTGGCCCTTTCTTATTGCCAGCGTTTCTTCAATAAGAACGAGGAGAGAGGAAGGAAAGTGGTGTTAGACACATGAAATTGTTTCTTGCCTTGCCGATATGTCTGCGTGTTTACCTGTGGCAGTTGCGTACAATGTCATCGCTTATATATATGCCCTTATTCCTTTTTTTTTCACATGTATGTGCGTCTCGCCGAGGTAGTTTTTTTTTGTGTGTGTGTTTTTTTTGTTCTTCTCAACACCGTGCGACAGATGCCAATTAAGTATAGTTGCATCAACGATGGCACCGTCTTGCTGGCCGAGTACCCGCCTGGCGAGCAGCCGAAGCTGGCGGAGACGATGCAGAAGGTGATTGCGACAGTCCCTGGCAAGGAGTACCGCCGCAAGACGATTGAAGACAAGGAGGGCGGCGTGAACTACCATTACATCAGCAACGGCGAGGGCCGCATCGTGGCTTGCGTGACGACGAATGAGATGCGCATGCGAACGGTGTTTGCGTTCCTTGAGGCCGTGGAGCCTCTTGTGCGCGGGAACGTGGGCCCACCCGGGACGGAGCTCCGCAACGGCAAGAAGCTCCTGCAGCAGAAGATGGATTTCTACAACAACCCCCAGAACGACAAGATTACGGCGCTGAATGACGACATCAACCAAGTAGTAGACGTCATGATGGACAACATGGATAAGGTGCTCGCCCGCGGCGACCGCATTGACACCCTGCATGAGAAGTCTAACACGCTAGCAGACCAGGCGGAACAATTTAAGCAGCGGTCGACGCAGGTGAAGCGGAACATGTGTCTGAAGAACCTCAAACTAACACTCATGATTGCGGGCGTACTGGGCGTCATTATTCTCATTATCGTCCTCATCGCCTGCAAGCCAAACTTTTCCAACTGCAAGTGAAATTGCCTTTATGTGTGTATGCCTGTGTGTGTGTGTGTTGTCGTTCGTGTGGCTGTTGCCAAGGGAAATAAGTGAGACGGCGCGAGGGCCAGGAAGCAAATCAATGGAGCGGAGGTAAGGGCCCAACGGGGAGAGGAAAAGGGAAGAAAAATAAAACAAAAAGAGCAAGTAACATATGAAAACAAAAACAAAAAACAAAAACAAAAACAATGGCAGTCCAAAGGAGGAAGTAATATCTTTTCTTTTCTTTTCTTTTCTTTGGGCGTGCCATCCCGCGTCGGTACTAATGTTGCGTCTTTTTGTTTCATTTTCTCTCCTTCTCTTCCCTCCCAACTCTTGTTTTTTTTGTTTTTGGTTTTCGTTTTTTTTCTTGTTTTTTTTCTCATTCCTCCCCCTCTCTCCCTTTCCCCTCATTTTTGCCTGTTCTGCTTCCACGTAAAGTTGCGGGGATGAAATGTTTTCTCTTTCCCAATTTCGGAGTATACCTGCAAGCCTGTTTCCTTTTTGCGCTCTGGCGATTGCCCCGCATTGGCCGGCGCGGGGGAGAGACAGACAGTGAGAGATGGCAAGGCATGTGGGAGGGGGTGGGTGGGGGGAATGCTTTTGTGCACGCCTCGCCTATGCGCACCCTTGCCGTCGCGCATGCCCCCGTGTGCACGTATTGACGTGCGTGTGTACTGCTAGACGTATCTCTTTGTCCCTGCCATTTCCTCTCTCTCTTCCCGTCTACGTGCGCGCGTGTACGGCGGGGAGGTGTGTGTAGATGGAGGGCTAATAGGGGACCAGCGCGGTGGGGTTGGGCACTGCCATCGCGAATAAACTGCGTCCCAAGAAAGGAAGTGAAACTAAATGACACACCTCCCCACAGAAAACAACAGCAAAAAGAGTGAGGAGGAAAGAAGAAACGAGGGGGTGGAGGAGGGGGGAGAAACCGAATGCGAGTTGATCTCATAAGAATATTTATATATATATATATAGCTCTGTGTGTGTGTGTATATATATAGTAAATTTTTCGTCCTCTGTTTCTTTTTTTTGCGTGTCAAAATCTCCAACTGCTGCAGTTTGTCGGGTGTGCGAGTAGAAAAGGGGGTTTGTAAAAAAAAAAAAAAGAGTTTGCGTGAGGTTCCACTTTGCTCGTTTCCCTCCCTCTTGTTTTCTGCATCTGGACTTACATGTGCGCTTCAGGTGCGTGTGCTTATGTCATTCATCTTCTCTTCGCTTTGGCTCTTTTTGTCGCATGCTTCGACTGTGGCCCCGCCCTCCCCCGCCGTGTCACGGCAGGTTTCGGGTATTGCAAGGCGGCGACACACACACGCATACAAACACACATACACAAATACATCCCCCCTGTTAACGCTGTAGGAGCGGGCGGTGCGTAGGGTTGGTTCTTCTTTGTCTTTTATTCTTTCCTTTTCCCCCCTTTGCGGCGGCGCTGTCTACCGTTCTGAGAGCGGCGGGGGGGTGATCGACGAGGCACGGGGACGCGGGGGTGGCGGGGGAAGAGACGAGGAAAAATACAAGGAAATATGGGGTCGTACGAGAATGTTGGCTGGAACTTCGTGGAGGAGGCGGTGATACGTGACCGCGGCTACGATGAGGAGACCGTTCTTGCTTCCATCCTGCAGTCGTACTTTATCAAGCAGGGGTTCGTGGAGTCTCTCACGACCCTAAATGAGGAGCTGAGGGAACTGCAGACGATGACGGCGTCAAGGACGAAAAGAGCGGCAACAAAGACACCGACACCCCATGAAGGCACAAATACGGCGGCCGAGTGTCGCGTGCAACAAAAAGGCGAAGGCAACTGCGTTAAGCAAGAGGAACCACACAACGGGGATGCATCACACGTGGATCGAAAGTACCTCAGCAACGGATACGAAAAGCATAGCGGCAAAATTTGTGCCTTTCATGAGAAGAAAGCTGGTGCTTATGCCAGTGAGGATACTGTACTGGAGGCGATGAAGAAACGTAAACATCTGCAGTTATTATGTGTAAATGAGCAGTACGAAGATGCTGCCGCGCTACTTCCTCAAGGAAGTGTCTTTATAGTGAAATTGCTGGCCATGGAGGCCCTCAAGCGTGCAAGGAAGCAGCAGGCAGCGGCGTTACTCTTTCTGTGTGAAAGGGTGGGCCCGCTGGTTGCCGGACTGTCTGATGCAGCGTTGGCGCATCAAATCTACATTAACACTTTAGCCGTTATCACGAGTGCCGACGCAACGGAGTGGTCGGTGTCGTCCCCATGCAAGATTGCCCGCGAGGTGAACGAGTCGCTCTTGGACGACCACGAGCCAAGTGCGCTTCATGTACTACTTTCGTGGTCCGAGTGGCAGGCGATAACGGCGGCAAAGGAGGAGGACGAGGGAGATGGATAGCGGCAGGCGTGGAGGTGTTTTGCCGTTCCGTATGGGCGTGAGGGGACCATTACAAAGTACGCGGTCATCTTCACTTACCTGCAACTTAACCGGAGCGAGGCAACTACT